ATAAATAAACACTCTAATATGTTGTGAAAAACCTTTAAAAGTCATAGTATGGAATTTCTGGAATAAAAAGTAACGGTGTTTTTGTTAGAAATAAAGCTGTAGTATAGTTTGTTTAACATAAGATGTGAACAGTCATAGTACAGCATGTAGAGCAATATCAAAAAGTCATAGTATAACATTTGATGACATACGGCCTTTATTACATTTGATCTGACGTACTTCTTTATGAAAAGTGTTTTATATACTTTACTTATTTCAAGACAAACTATACTGACTTTTTTCAACTGTAACTTTAAAAAATGTTGTGACTACTATTGTTACTTTTTAATAATTACATAGTGTGACTTGTTTAAATAAACATTTTGTGCCTTGCTCAACTGACTTATTTCCATACGCTGCTGTATTATTACTTTTACTTAAGTATGAGATGCGAGTATTTTCGTAGACAGAAACAAATAATGGGCAGATCATGAGTTGTCGTCTCATCCAAGACGACTGCAGCTGAAAAGCCTTGAACCCACAGCCTGCAGTCTCACGGTCTTCTTTCCCTCTGAGCCATCTGACCTGAGACAAACCTTTCATCTGGTAAACTCATTACATAGTCATAGTGCAAACGGTCAGAGTGAAGTATCTAGAAAAGAAAAGACTAATTTATGTTATCCCCTAATTGAGCTCAATGTTTACATTACCCGTATTTCTCTACGCTTTTCTAGTTGGTCACCTTTCCTATCTTAGAACTCTATTTATTCTTTTCACCTATTTTGTTGGCCTATTTTATTTCTCTATTTTGGACCTAGCTACCTCGCCTCTAGTAGACTCGAACCCCGCACATGCTAAGCAGCGGATCTGTTCTCGGCACTTAGGCGCCTCAGTGCGCACTAAGGCGCCTAAGTGCCGAGAACAAACCCCGATAGCCACCAACTCATGTACATGAAGACCTGTTCTCTGGGCGCATTTATCCTCATCACTTTGAGTAAAGCTCTTTAAAAATCACTGAGCATCACGAGGATTCGAACACACAACCTCAGGTCTTCTGACCCGTCACATATCCCTCTGCGCCATCTGTCCTGAGTTGTCATTGTTTCGTAGAGCTTATGACCTGCTCATTTGGCTTTGTGGACCTTAAAGACGACTGCACCTGAAAGGCCTCGAACCCACAACCTGCTGTCTCACAGTCAGTCTTCTTTCCCTCTGAGCCATCTGACCTGAGAGGCAAACTCATTCTCACGGTCAGTCTTCTTTCCCTCTGAGCCATCTGACCTGAGAGGCAAACCTTTCATTTGGTTAACTCATTCTCACGGTCAGTCTTCTTTCCCTCTGAGCCATCTGACCTGAGAGGCAAACTCATTCTCATGGTCAGTCTTCTATCCCTCTGAGCCATCTGACCTGAGAGGAAAACTCATTCTCATGGTCAGTCTTCTATCCCTCTGAGCCATCTGACCTGAGAGGAAAACTCATTCTCATGGTCAGTCTTCTATCCCTCTGAGCCATCTGACCTGAGAGGCAAACTCATTCTCATGGTCAGTCTTCTTTCCCTCTGAGCCATCTGACCTGAGAGGCAAACCTTTCATTTGGTAAACTCATTCTCAACTTTGGGTTGTAGATATCTACTAAACTAAAGCAAATAAAGAGAGTAGGTCTGTTATACTGAGTGATATCTATTATACACACTGCTCTGCTTTCTGCACGGACCTCACAGCTGTTCTCTCTGGAAACATCGCGACGCCATGAAAGTAGTTTCTAAAATAATATCCAGGGGATGCATGCAGAGCTGTCATTGGCTGAGATAAGTCCGGCCGTGCGTCACGACTCCACCGTTTTCGGAAATGCATCCGCGGGGGAGCCGTGGAGGACCCATCAGTGTCTCCTCGGTTAGAGCTCCTCCAGAGAGCCTCCTCTCTCCTCTCTCCTCGGTTAGAGCTCCTCCAGAGAGCCTCCTCGATCCTCTCTCCTCGGTTAGAGCTCCTCCAGAGAGCCTCCTCTCTCCTCTCTCCTCGGTTAGAGCTCCTCCAGAGAGCCTCCTCGATCCTCTCTCCCCGGTTAGAGCTCCTCTAGAGAGCCTCCTCGATCCTCTCTCCCTCGGTTAGAGCTCCTCCAGAGAGCCTCCTCTCTCCTCTCTCCCTCGGTTAGAGCTCCTCCAGAGAGCCTCCTCGATCCTCTCTCCTCGGTTAGAGCTCCTCCAGAGAGCCTCCTCTCTCCTCTCTCCTCGGTTAGAGCTCCTCCAGAGAGCCTCCTCGATCCTCTCTTCTCGGTTAGAGCTCCTCCAGAGAGCCTCCTCGATCCTCTCTCCTCGGTTAGAGCTCCTCCAGAGAGCCTCCTCTCTCCTCTCTCCTCGGTTAGAGCTCCTCCAGAGAGCCTCCTCGATCCTCTCTCCTCGGTTAGAGCTCCTCCAGAGAGCCTCCTCTCTCCTCTCTCCTCGGTTAGACCTCCTCCAGAGAGCCTCCTCTCTCCTCTCTCCTCGGTTAGAGCTCCTCCAGAGAGCCTCCTCGATCCTCTCTCCTCGGTTAGAGCTCCTCCAGAGAGCCTCCTCTCTCCTCTCCTCCTCGGTTAGAGCTCCTCCAGAGAGCCTCCTCGATCCTCTCTCCTCGGTTAGAGCTCCTCCAGAGAGCCTCCTCTCTCCTCTCTCCTCGGTTAGAGCTCCTCCAGAGAGCCTCCTCGATCCTCGGTCCTCGAAGTGCATTTAGAGAAATGAGATGTCCTTCAACATGGCGCGCTGAAATCCATTTCCGGGTCACTACCGGAGGACCGAGGAGTCGAGGAGGGGAAATTTGAGTATTGAGAAACCTCTATGGTAAAAACACATAATGCACAAGGTCAACAATGAAGTCAAATGAGTGAATAAATGAGTAAATATAATGCAAATATAAAAAGTAATATCCAACCAAACATGAATTGCTGTTGTTTGGTTGTTGAATAAGAAGTTGTATCTTCTTGTGTTTTTTACAAAAGTGAAGTTTGGTAAGGTGTGTATCGGCTTTTCCAGCTCGTTCTGGGTACCAACGTTAAAAGCACACTTGTTCATTTATTCATTATCAATCATAGCATGTATAAATCCTCAGAAATGTGTACATATGTATCGTAGAAGTGTGTTTTGGTATCTATAACTGTACATATTCTTTCATATTACAATAATGAATGAGTCTTTTAGAGCTGATTTCTTAGAGTCTTTCAAGTTCACCAAACAATATGATGAATATGTTTAAAGCACGAAGGAAATTCACAACCCAAAAAAGGTACCGTTACCTCAAACTGACCCCAGAAAGATGTGGTCAATCCACAGTTTTCCATCCGGCCAATAGATGTCAGTGTTGCTGCACAGCAGAGCAGCTGATGTGATAACAGCAGGTTTACAGTATGTAGTCACTATTGTTGAAGTCATCTCCTCCTCCTTCTTCATCGTGCACAGGTATAACATACAGAGATGGATCAGGGTCTAATGCAGCAGCATGCCGGACACTTTGAGGCAAAAGAGCTCAATTAGGAGATTTTAATTGGATGTTTCATTATTTTGATCTGCATTCAATCGTCACACCAATTCATGGATGCAGCAAATGTTGTTTTGTTTGTAGAGAAGCTATTATTTGGACCTGGATGGTTGAATTCAGCTCACATTACTTACATCTTATTATCTCCAAATCATCCATCACCAATTATCTGCCAATTCATATTGTGCCTAAGGAGGTTCAAGTATACAAAGTCACTGCATGACGCCATCTGCTGGAGGGGAGAAACACAGACTTTGGCTTATTAGGAGCAGAGATGGAAAAAGTAAACACATCCTTTACTCAAGTGAAAGTAAAGAACTTTGAAATGTACTTCAGTAGAAAGTACCCATAACTAGCAGCTGTTTTAAAGAGTACCTGACCTCCCTTTATATGAATAGAACAATAATGTCATTGTTAGCTAATGAATGTTTCCATGCTGAACAACGGCAACATGACAACGTTTCCATTGGTCCCTCTTCTTTAGAGAAGACCAGGAAATGATGGATACACGGATCGTGTTCAAATCAATAGGCACGCAATGACTCTAAAGAATAATGATCACGCATCAAACACACATTCAGACTAAAGGAACCAGCTGTTTGGGAAATGAGAGAAGTAGAAAGTACAAGTATTTGAGTTCAACATGTGAGAAGTAGAAAGTACAGGTATTTGAGTTCAACATGTGAGAAGTAGAAAGTACAGGTATTTGAGTTCAACATGTAAGAAGTAGAAAGTACAGGTATTTGGGTTCAACATGTAAGAAGTAGAAAGTACAGGTATTTGGGTTCAACATGTAAGAAGTAGAAAGTACAGGTATTTGAGTTCAACATGTAAGAAGTAGAAAGTACAGGTATTTGAGTTCAACATGTAAGAAGTAGAAAGTACAGGTATTTGAGTTCAACATGTGAGAAGTAGAAAGTACAGGTATTTGTGTTCAACATGTAAGAAGTAGAAAGTACAGGTATTTGAGTTCAACATGTAAGAAGTAGAAAGTACAGGTATTTGGGTTCAACATGTAAGAAGTAGAAAGTACAGGTATTTGGGTTCAACATGTAAGAAGTAGAAAGTACAGGTATTTGGGTTCAACATGTAAGAAGTAGAAAGTACAGGTATTTGGGTTCAACATGTAAGAAGTAGAAAGTACAGGTATTTGAGTTCAACATGTAAGAAGTAGAAAGTACAGGTATTTGAGTTCAACATGTAAGAAGTAGAAAGTACAGGTATTTGTGTTCAACATGTAAGAAGTAGAAAGTACAGGTATTTGAGTTCAAAATGTAGGAAGCAAAAGTAAAAAGTCGTAGTGGAGTAAAGTACTGATACCATAAAACATTTACTAAAGTACAGTAACAAAGTATTTTTTCTCCACTACTTCCCACCTCTGATTAAGAAAGCCTAATGCTCTGACCACCTCTCTTTGATGTCCCCTCAGTTATCTGTGCAGATCCAGGATCAGTTGTCTGTGTGTAATCATGAACTTGGTATGATCTCTCTCTCTCTCTTCCTCTCTCCTCTCAGTGATGGCCGCTGGAAGCTCCACAGGCAGAGAGTGTGATTAAAACTGACTGTGAACGTGATCTGGCAGCCGATATGAAACACGTCAGCTCAGAGAAGAGGAAGGAGGGGGGAAAGGCTTCACACAAAATGAAAGATAGAAACAGAGAGGCTCTCTCCTCAGCCTTCACCTCGACATTACCTTTTTGCATTTCCACAGAAGCGTTGAAAGCCTATGAAGTCATCACGAGGCGCGGCTATTAGTTGCTGTACTTGTCAACAGAAGGGAAGATCAATACATCTCATATGAATAATGTAAACACTGAGGTCACTTCAAATGTGTGTTAATCATTTTGGCAAGCGGAGGGAAAGCTCCTATCTGCTAAATGCGTTTGAGACGGACTCCAAATCAATGCCACGATTACCAAAACACAAACAAGCAGCACTGCAGGAGAGCGCTGATTAAACGCTTTTGACATCGCAGTTAACGGTAGCTGAACCTTTCCATCAGAGCTCACGTCTGGCAGCGGTTCAACACCGAGCAAATCCATCTGATCTGATTAACATCTTCAAATCTCAGCGCTGACTCATCAGTGTTGCCTTTTAGCTTTTAGTGTTGGTGGGTCTGATCCGTGTACAGAAGAAAGTCCGACATTCAAAAGTCATCATTTGACATCGTGTGTAAGTTAAAGGGGTCCTATGATGCTCATTTTCAGTCAGGAGAATAGGGAACTTCAGCGATAGCAGACCATTTACATGCACAAAACCCCTCTACAAACACACTATGGGAAAGGGTCAACATTCTTATCCTGAGCCAAATCATGTTTGTTTATACATTTGACGATTTAGACGCTTGTTTCTGATCCGTGTACAGAAGAAAGTTCGACAATCAAAAGTCAATTTGGACAACAAACGCTCATTTTCAATATTTTTCTGTGTGTATTTTAGCCTCTGCAGACCATTTGCATGCACACAAACCTATAGAACACACTACAGGAGAGGGAAAACCCTTCTTAGCCGAATCATGATTTTGTATATACCGTAAAGCAGTTTTGTCTTGTTAGTTGTTACACATCAAACTACCGCCGTAATCCGGGAGAAATTCCCTCAAAACTTAATTGAGAGCAGTTTAGTTTTATAGGATGGGGAGGTGGATCCCGCTGAGCCATGATTCTTATAAACGGTGAAAATGTAGTCCTGGTTTTGTCCTGAAATACTCAATTACTGCACCGAGGCGAGTATCATGTGAATCTCCAGAGAAACTCTCATCTTCAACCTGTTCAGCCCTGAGCCTGTTTTTCAGGTCTCAGGCTCGAAAATGACATTCCCAGAACAAATGACCATATCTTCTAAAAGGGGGACATTAATAATCTTTGTTCTCAAAGTAATGATAAACCTGTGAGTTGGATGTAGAAAAGTCAGAATAAATATAGATGTTTTTTATTTTAAAGAAAATTCAGATTGAACATGATAAAAAACTGTAAATTATAGTGTCTGTCCAAATAATATTTTGTACTTATAGTGAAACTAACCTTGGATGATGGGTTAGTAGACTAAAAGCTTTAGGAATCCAAAGTCCAACATATAATAAGTACCCTGTATCAAGATTGATGCAAAACAAGTGAAATTTGACCTTTTTAGAGAGATTTAGCAAAAAAAACACTTCTGGGGTCATTTGGGTGGATTTTCCATATCTCTGGCCCCCCTTGCTCGATTTTGCTGATTGACATCTCTTTCTGACCGTCAGAGCCAATGGAATCGAGGGGAACTCCCACACACTCCTTATTTGGTAATGTGTGTGTGTGAGACTGACGCATAGCCAAAACCGGAAGCTGCGATACCTCTGGTGGCTACCATTAGCAGCTAACTTTTACTCTCCGATTTTTACATAAAAATGGTCAATGCTCAGGATGAGTTTAGCTTGTTCTCGCTGTATCGCCGACCCGGAAATCTGTCCGCTCCTCGCAGCAACGAGCCTAGCAACGTCCCGACCAATCAGAGCACACTGGGCTCACAGGGAGGGGGGGCAGGAGCTCCAACAAGCCGTTTAGGACAGAGAGTGACGTACAGACTATACAGAGATGCTGTTAGAGAAACCAATGTGAGTTTGGAACATTGAACAATATACATTTATTCTAGTAGACCTCAATAATGGAACTATGATCAGTAGAAATGGCCATGACATGGGCCCTTTAAGAGTATAGGGTCTCTTTTAAAACCCCTTTCATCGTGTATTGACAATCAACATGAATCCTTAGTGATGGATTTACTTTACGTCACCGTCTGAGAAACAGCAGGAGGATAAAGCTTACTCACTCAAACATAGGCATTCAGAATGAAGATCAAACGGTGTGTTGGGTACAGTGAAACACGTTAAGTGCAGCCACAAAGCATCTGTTAGCACATCCATCATGAAGAGGCTGCAAATGTGCTTTTTGAATTGCTGGAAAATCACAACATCTCGTATAAATGACCCTGAGGCTGGAGCACGAAGACTGCTTTTACTTTAGCTGTCATGTGAACGTTTGGTTGATTAGAAGACATATTTCACTATTCTCTGTTGCAGGCATGTACATGTATTTCCTCTATTAAAACAAACAGCTCCAGGCCCTGTGAGATTGTTTCTCCTCCCATTACACAGTCTATATTGCAAATACATTTTATTTTGTTGTTGGACGATAGCTCCGAGGTTTTGTCATGCCGCTCATGAAGACACTTCTAAGACACGAGCAAACAATCTGAAGAGGTGCAAACAGTCTGGGTTGATCTTGCTACCACTTAGCAGATATGCAGGAGAAAGAGAGCTGTGCACAGGTGTGTCGTCGTCCCCTCTGAATAATAAGGGAGGCAGAGTCTATTTAAACACTATCTCCGTGACCTCTTGGCGCCCGGCAGATGTTCGGGGATCTACAGGATTAACCGCCGCCTCTCCGGTAAACTGATTCATAATAAATAGTAGCTTTGAAAAGAGCACATTGAAATGAAGGAGCTAGTTCTGGGTCAGAGACAAACATTGAATACAGGGACACCTCTAATGTCCATAGTGTTAACATCGTGGCTCGTTTGCAGAAGGAGAACGGGATGAATGTGAGGGCTGGAAGACATCCGTTTCCCCCCAGAATGCACCTGAACCTTGCTTCACATTGTGTGCTACATCCATGGTGGATTCCTCTATTATATTTAATACAAAGCCAGAAAGGTGTGTGAGATTCTTCTCTTCACTGTAAAGCATTCCCTGCTGTTAAAGGACCTTTACATTCGGCGTAACAGCAGGCAATATGTCCCGTCTCATTACCTGCTAGAAAAGACTTGATTTCAAAAGGATAAATAATAAGAGGAAGAACACACTCTTTTAACTGTACACTGCAAGGAATGTTGAACGATATAATATGGAACCTTTCTGCGTTGTGTACAAAAGACAACCTGTACACTTTTCAAAACCACAGATCTGTAATTGTAGTTTCCTGTAACGGCTCCCAAACGTTTGTGTTGTTTTTAAACCAAATTCTGCCTCTTGGTTGTGATTTAGAGCCCCATAGTCGTATAGAGGGGATCACAGGAGAGACACTGCTCTATACCAACTATCAAACTGATTTGTTTTCTTTGTATTTCCCTTCAGCGGCTAACAGAAGCTCTCCTGCCTCTTTCTGTTCTTTTATTTAGAAACCTCCCACTGTGTGCAGTCAGAAGAGCTTCTGGAAACGACATGCTGGGTGTCGGCGTCCTTCCATCGAATTTTAAAATCTAATATAAGCACTCGAGGTAAATACTGCCTTCACACATTGCAGGTAAATACATTTACGTGGACCCTAAGGAGAAGAACAAATAAAACCACTCGGAAAGAACGAGGCCTTTTCTCAGCTTTCTTTAAGCCTATAATAATGGTTATTTTAAAGCTAACAATTTAACGTGGTTTTCTCAGAGCTGCTGTTGTCGGGAAAACACATAAAACACTCCATAAAGCATGGCGTATTTGTGAATACAAATCAAAGCGTGTGCCACCTTTAATTACATTTGAATGCGTCATGTTTTATTACCTTCAAAGATATGTTATGCATCATAGAAAGCAGGTTTAGGACTTCATAAATGAAAGCCTCATGCAGCTGAGATGAAGCTGCATCATTGGAGATAAATCAGGATCAGATTTAGCTCCAACCTTGCCTGACGGTTGAAGTAACACTTTTCTAAGGTAGCTGTGAAATACCATACATCACTAGCTAAGTGCAAAAACAAACGTCCTTGGCAGATAATGCTCCGTACACTTTCCTCTCAGCGACACATTTCTCGGAAACTATTTCTGCTCGTACATCACAGCGTAAGAAGGTGATCTTTGAAGCCCAAAATAGTAGTACTGACGAGTCCAAATCACAAATATGACATTCACAAAGCAGGGAGAAAACATTCCATCTGTTAACTCGCAGCCTTCAGCTCTGACATGTCCGAGCCGAGGCCTCACACTCTGATATGGCAGATGTGACTGAAAGTTGGTCTTTGTGGTCGGACACATTCTTTGGAAGCCTGCATGGCATTAGCTCATGTCTCCCTCTTTGGAAGCTGTCACTACAGCCCAGTTTCTCCGCAGCTGACTGCTATTCCCCCCGCTTCGTTTCCCCGGACCCCCTGCTGCTCGCCGCACAGTTTAGCTATCAACCTTTTGACATTTAGCTGCTCTCCTGCAGCCCTGGCACTTTCCTCTGCCCAGGTACAAACGCAGCGCTGTCCTGTTTCCTCTGTGAGAGTGTTTGGCAAAGAGAGCAACATCTTAGTGCAGCAGTGGAGGGTTTGGGGAATGTGTGTTGACCAGAAGTGTTGCCCTCTCTAGTTTGCCGTGGAAAAGGAATAGTGAAAACACATCAGAGGACCAGAGAGGCAGAAAAATATCAGACCATTTTTATCTACCATTTCCTTTGCAAAGAAGGCAGGGTAACCTCTGACACCATTTATTTTGAACTAGTCAAATAACCACCGTTTTTGTGTCGACAACTTATAGCTGTTTTCCCCGTTTCCAGTCGGAAAGCCCAGCAGTGTGTTTCCAGAAAGCTTTTCCTGCAATCATAGCGGTGGCAGATCCTGTTGATAGGTGCCCAAACTCATGTCCTTTTAGGAGGCAATTACAAAGTGACTTTTGGAGGATTTGTTGCTAAACCCCTCTCTCTCTCCACAGCCTCTCCAATAAAGCAGCAATGACAAGGATGCTTGCTGAGAAAGGCTGCTAAACTCTAAAGGACATTCTTATATAATCATCAATATGAAACAACTGGGAATGGATTGAGCAGGGACCAAAGGCATGTAAATTACAGATATCTTAAAAGAGAATGGCGTTCAGAGAATGTTAAATCCACTCTCAGTCTTTTGGTCCTCCGATCTATTTCTCACCATGTCCTCCCCTCTGACTTCACTCCAGTGATTGGGCCTCAAAAGGGACAGAGTCTCTCGATTAATATGTTTATATCCGTGTGTGTGTGTGTGTGTGACACAGAAAGAGTGTGAGGAAGGAGGAGAGTTTTTTCAAGGCCCATCTCCTTATCTAGAACCAATTTCTATGCAAATGCTACGACCTGATTTGAGAGGCGACCATTGTTCGGTGGGGGCATGCAGAGCTGGGTTTAAGGTGTCGCAGAACTCGGCATAGAAGCACCGCACATGCTCATATTTCCTGCTCTGACAAACTCGCCCTTTGATGCATTTCAGTGCAGCGGCATGTGACTGCAGGGCGATATTTCACATGTTGTGACAAACAGCTGTGGGGGTTGAAGAGGACGAAAACTAACCGTGAGACTGCGGGGAAATGTTCCTCCTGGCCAATGGGGCAGAAACCTGAACGCTCATATTTCTTTAGCCACTACCCGACGCCCCGGAGCATCGTTCAGGTAACGGATATCTCCGTCTGCTTGTTGCAGTGTTTCTCAAGCGGGCAGCACCTCTCATCCAGCGCTACAGGGGACTCGAAACCATTCCTGTTAATGGTTGTCGGCCATGATGGTTAGCTGCTGTTGTTGTTGCACAGCAGGATTTCTAGGCTGCAGTGAAAGCAGAACAGAGAGAAATGTATAAATAGACTACGAAGGATTTGCTCAGAGATTTGCCGCCTTGTTCACTTGCCGTCCTTCACACACTCTTGCCCACTTCTTCACACACAGATCTTTGTAGCAGTGTGTTGACCCCTATGTCCCTCGTGCGTTCCTAGATGAGTTCAGAAACTTCCATCTGATGTACGTCCATCCTCTGTGGGTTCGTCCGTCACACCTTCAATAAGGTTTTACCGATCACTATGCGAGCGTGCATGCACGGAGGGAAAGCTTTGTAGTTAATTACAGTCTCGCTGACACATGCTTCTATAGATCAGCGGTGCTCAAAGTCCCGTTCGGGGGCCACTTGCAGCCCATGAAAGACTTCCGAGTGGCCC